AGTCGCACGAAATTTAACTCCAAAGTTTGATCATATAGTTGCTGCAATAAAAAAGTTTAAGGATCTATCTTTTTTTTTAATGAACTAATGGGTTCTTTGCAAGTTCATAAGATAATGCTGAACAAATCACAATAAAAAATTGATGAAAAGCATTTCAAGTGAAAAGAGAAAAAACTAGAAAAAAAGTGTCTGTTGATAGAGGATGTGGCAGAGAAGGCTTTCGTGGATAGGACGTGATAAAGGTAGAGGAAAAGGTCATTTTGATGGCCATTAGAGATAGTCTATTGGTGAGCAAAAAGAGAACAGGAGCGCTATCCAATGCTACAATTGCAAGATATTTAGGCATGTAAAAGTAAATTGTTGGAACTAAGTAAGCTATACAGAGGAAGAAAATAAAGAAAGTAAGTTATTCATGGCCCATTTTCCTACTAATGAAGTTCCAAATGATGTTTGATTTATGGATAATGGGTGCTCAAACCATATAACCCCCAATAGATCATTGTTTAAGGAACTTAACCAGTCACAAAAGTTGCAAGTCAGACTTGGGAATAACAAGCATATGCAAATTGAAGGAAAATGTATTGTTTTAGTGGAGGCAACTAATGGTAAGACAAAATTATATTCTATTTTCTTCTTTGTTCCTAATTTGGCATATAGTTTGTTGAATGTTGGACAACTAATGGTTGGTGGCTATGTAATTGTGTTTGAAAATGAAGTATGTGTGATTAAAGATAAATTTGGGCAACTTATGATGAATGTGCATATGATAGAAAACAATATGTTTTACTTAAAATTTCTAATGTAGAAAAGCAAGCTCTTATTGTTAGCAGGAAGGATGAATCAAAATTGTGATAGCTGTGATATAGACATCTCAATATCAAAGGCTTGTAGTTACTAAGCAAAAAATGTATGGTTCTTAGATTACCTCAAATTAGATCTTTTGATTTATGTGAATGATGTATTTATGAGAAATAAGCAAGAAAGTTGTTTCCAAGTGGACAATCATGGAGAGCTTCTAAATGCCTTAAATTGATATATGCCAATCTATGTGGGCTTATGAGAACTACATCACTTAATGGGAGTAAGTATTTTTTGCTCTGATGATTGTAGTCGAATGAGTTAAGTTTATTTTCTAACCAATAAGTTAGAGACTTTTAAAAGTTTCAAAAAATTCAAGGCTCTTGTGGAGAAGCAAATGGAGCTTTTATAAAGACTCTTCGCACTGATTGAGGAGTAAAATTTTTATCTAATGAGTTTAACTTTTTTTTGTAAAGAAATGATATTTTCAAGAATTTGATTGCATCATACATTTTAGAGCAAAATGATGTAGATAAAAGAAAGAATCGTACCAATGTGGAAATGGCTGGGAGCTTGTTGCAAGCGAGAGGACTATCGAATCATTTTTGCGCTGAAGTTGTGGCAACTACTATTTACTTGCTGAATTCTTTTCTTACAAAAACAGTCCTCAATCAAACACCTTATGAAGCTTAGAGAGGTACAGAGCCGACGGTAAACCACTTGAGGGTTTTTTGTTGTATTGCATATATTTTGGTTGATTCTCAGGTTCATCAGAAACTTGAGAAAAAAATTTGAAAAATGCATTTTTGTGGGATATTGCATTCAATCCAAAGTATATCGTCTATATAATCCTCTTAGTGGCAAGGTGATTATTAGTAGAAATATTGTCTTTAATTAAAATATAAGTTGGGAATGGAATGTCACAAACAAGATAACTTAAATTCTAACTTTAAGTGAAAGTAACAATCCAAGTAATAATGCAGCAAATGAAGGCATTGAATCAACACTTACGAACTTTCCAATCGGTTCTTATTCATCGGCTTCTACATCATACACTTCACCTCTAACTTCACAACATAGCAGTTCACCTTTTTGAAAGAATTTTCAAATGAAACACCTCTAAGAAAGTTCAGTCCTTTAAAGGATATTTATAAAACTTATCAATTTGCTATCTTTATTTCAGATCCTACAACTTTCGAAGAAGTAGCAAACCAATAAGAATGGCAAAATGCAATGTAAGAAGAGATGATGGCAATCCAAAAAAATGAAACATAAGATATGGTAGATCTATAGTTAAAAATGCAATTGGCCTCAAATGGGTGTTCAAAACAAAGTACCGTACTGATAAAACCATACAAAGGCAAAAAGCCTAGTTGGTGGTGAAAGGAAGCTCGCAGTAACAAAGTATTGATTTCAAAAAAACCTTTTTCTCCAGTTGCTCGATTTGAAACTATGAGAATTATTTTAGCCTTGGTTGTACAACTTCATTGGCTTGTTTATCAATTTGATGTCAAGTTTGCATTTTTAAATGAAAACTTGAAAGAAGAGATGTATGTTAATCAACTTGTAGGGTTCATGATCAAAGGTAATGAGATAAAAGTGTACAAGCTTAAGAAGGCGCTTTATGGGCTGAAACGAACACTATGGGCATGGTATAGTAAGATTGATAGCTATTTTTGTCACAATGGCTTCACAAGGAGTGAGAATGAGCTTACTTTGTATGTGAAGAAGCAAGGAAGAGATGATCTTATAATTGTTTGCCATTATGTTGATTATATTATTTATATAGGCTTATGTGAATATCTTGTTACTGAATTTAAATCTAATATGATAAAGGAATTTGAGATGGAAGACATGAGTTTGTTGCATTATTTTTTGGGGCTCGAGGTAAAGCAAGGTATGGATGGAATTTTCATTTCACAAAGTAAGTATGCAATGGAACTACTCAAAAGATTTGCTCAATTGCAATCCAACTACCACTTATGAACGTAAATGAGAAATTACAACTTGAAGATAGTTCAGAAAAGGCTGATGCAAAGACTTTTAAAAGCTTAGTAGGAGGTTTCATTTTTCTAACCCATACTAGACCAGATATTGCATTTTTTGTTGGTGTAATCTCTAGGTTTATGCAAAGTCCCACAAAACATCATCTTGGAGCAACAAAAAAGTCTTATGCTATATTGCTGGAACTAGTGATTTTGGGATTTGGTATTGGCAAATTACAAACTTCAAGTTATATGGGTTCATAGATAATGATTTGACAAGTTCATTGGATCATAAAAAGTGTACTTGGGCAAGTGCTTTCACTCTTGTATTAGGTGGCATCACCTGGAGTTGAAAGAAACAAGGTACAGTAGCTTTGTCATCTTCAGTATGTAGTAGCAACTTCAACAACTTGTCAAGCAATTTGGATTAGAAGACTTCTTGAAAATCTTTGTTAGGTTCAAGATAAAGCAACTAAATTTTTTTGGTAACAAGTCAACCATTGCTGTGACAAAGAATTTGGCATTTGATGAGAGAACAAAGCATATCAACATTTGCTTTCATTTTATTCATGACTTAGCTACAAATGGCATTATCAAAATGGAGCATTATGGAACAGATGAGCAGCTAGCAAATCTTCTAACCAAAGCACTTTTAAGAGAAATTTTTCTATTTCAAGTTACGTCTTGTGATTTTGAATCAAGGAGAATGTTGAAGAGTGATCCAAAATTTAATTTATGTCTCGGCTCAGTGTCCTGGTCTTTAGGAAATAATAGTCCTGCTTTTAGGAAATAGTTGGTACAATTACTCAAAATTGATTCTTTCTTTTAATTCAATGATTTAATTTCAATGAAGTTAACTCCTTGCCCAACATGGAAATGGTTGCTGTCTTTCACAAGAAGAATTACCGCTTCTTCCAGTCATTAAAAGGAGAATGACAACCGATCGATCTAGTTAGGCCAGTGAAGTTCAAAGATTGAGAATCCCTGTCAATCCTGACCAGCTATTAAATATGTTATTTATGAGTGTCCATCCCCAATAGGAACGCATTCACCACCACCTGAGCTGACAGACTCCAGGTTATGCGTGCCTACAATTGAAAAGCAGAAGCAAAAGGAACTTTGCGAGTTTAATGAAGAAAGGTAAAGCATGGTATATTCAATGAAGATTTCTGAGAAAATTTGAGGCACTCTCTAATTATCATTTTCCCATTGCTGACCGTGCACTGCAGGGCTATTGTAAAACCTGTCGAACTGTGATAATAATGACTTCCCTTTATTATTCATGTGAACGATTTTCAGAGAGGCTGCAGATCAACTGAAGGAAGAATCAACATACCCAAAGTTTGCATGCTACCATGAGATTGCGCTGCCTGCGTTACCATATGTCGTAGACACAGTTTTGCTTTCCTCTTTTCCTCTCCTGCCCATAAACTAGAGGGATATAGCCAATGATGGCAGACTTTGTTTGTCTTTCACAATCTTTTAGGGTGATTTTTATCAACCGTTAATTACTCTTTCTTTATTCATCTACAATATACAAAGTTTGAATAGCAGTTTGGCTGGATGCCTGATACTGTACAAAGATGTGCTTCGGTGTGTCAATGGCTACTTATTGGGGACTTGGAGCCCAGCTAGGGCTGGCACAGAACAGAACTCTCAAGTGACGACAGTCACAAAGTACATTTACAACACATGCCCATTCATAATGAACTGCCATGCATGTACAAATGCTTAGGGATCACATGTATGATCAAACATGCATGGCTATGTGTTCCCATTCATACTTAATTCTCCCAAGCCTGCATGTACATGTTCATTTCACGCAGGTTTTGCGGCTTTCCAGGGAACCAACTATAGATTGTAGAAGGCATCGAAATCAGCCGTAGTTACCATCCCTCAAACACTTAAACGCCATTCAGGACAACTTTTGCGGAGAAATGCTAAAAGTAACTGAAAGTATCCGCCAACTTGATTGGTGGACTACTTACAAGAAATAAGCAGCATGAATTTGTTACTTACTTTCGCCATGACACTAAAACAAATCGTCAGAAAAATAAAATTAATCACTTTTGAATGACCAACCTGTAACAGTTGCATTTTACAATTTAAATAAATCTAGTTTTTTTCTTTGCCCTAACCAACTTTTTATGTCGAAAAAGTTTATGTTCCAATCAATTTTCATGGACCTAGTTATGATATACTTTATATTCGCAGTAATTCAGCGAAGTTTCTGTTTCCATTGTCAAAAAATGGTAGTAACACATCAAGCACCCCACAAAAGTATATCTGCATTCAGAGCAACAGTGTTTTTTTATGCCATCCCACATCTCACTTGAATTTATTCGTTTTTCCAGAAAGTATTTTAAGGCATCACTTGGAAAGAGTTCAGATGTACCAACCACTTCTCATAGACACCATTTAAAACACTTTCAAGAAGCAGTTACTGTTTTCTTAGTAACAAAGGCAAAACTCTGGATGTCTGCCTGTATGATCAACCTAAATTTCAGAGTGAGCTGCTGCAATGGGAGTGAAAATGTACATGTGACAGTCATGAGAATCAACTTTAGCACCAAATGATGCCACGGCATTTTCCTCAAGATCTATGTGCTGCAAGCAATAAAGTTAAGTAAGCAGGATGATAGAAAGTGAAGAATTTAAATCAAGCAAAGCATAATAAAACAAACAGAACTGAATCATCATTTATTTGACTAAAATTTTCTACCAGTTGTAATGGATGAATGATTGATAGATTTGAATGGTTTTCAATTAAAATTTGAACAATTTAATATCATCATGCCCCTCTCCCTCCCCTGTGCACTCTGGTACTACCTAAGCAGCACAGATATCCTGGGACGATACAGGATGCTACATTGTGCTGTTGCCAACTGTCATTTATTAGAGCTTAATTTAGAATCATGGTGAGGTCATAAATTTGCAATTTGAGAAATCATGGTAAAAGAATTATGGTTTCAAATCCATGGTAAAAAACTACTTCTGTTGAAATTGATTCGCTACATGGTCCAAACCACAGCTTGAAACCCAACCACAATGCCAAACTCAGCTTAGGTATGATTATTTTCTGAAAAAGAAAGGAATTCATTAAAAGAAAACAACAGGCCTTAAAAGGAAAAAGATGTCCCTATTTGTCCTGGGAGGGAGTGGGCAAGTTGTTATATAACCAATTCTATTAGGACCCATAACTTTTTGGCAAAATCTACATCTAAGACCTTCACAAAAGATTTAAGCCAGGCTTTCAATACTACCAATCTAAACACCACCTGAAAATCCAATGTAAGTTAGTTTCTTCACCTGCCACAAATCTCTTATTGCGACACTGGTGCTAGATTCAAGACCAAGGGCCTCCCAATTTGCTGTAATAGTTGCAGCTATTGAACACCGATTCCAGAAAGCAACTACCAAGCGATTTCCAGACAAAGGACCTGCCCAAACCTGCAAAACGAAATCACAAAATCAAATTAAAAAGATAGTTTATACTTTATAGTATAATGTTCACCTTGTTTGAAAATCCAAACAATGTGATACACTATATGATTGACAGCTCCGGCATAACCAATGTGAGATATTGTTGTCTGCAAGGATAGTTCTCATACTCACACCGTCACAGCTAAAACAACTTTTAGCAGCTCAGTACCTTGCAATTGAGTCTTTTCTTTTATATTTATTTTTTGATTGCATCTCCATAGCCAGCAAAAGAAAGGCATACATAACACCATCATGAGACCCAGTCACAAATTGTTAGTTCAGTTTATGATTATCTAAAGCCACATTTGAGGGTGGTCATAGAGGCCATCGTTCTCTATAATTCCAATATGTTACCTTTTTCATAGAAAAGATTCACAGAAGTTATCATATTTATGTACTTAAACAAGCTGTAAGATCACCTGAAGGCAGTTCTCTTCTCCAGCAACTTGAACTCTCCTTCCCTGAACCCCTAATGAATCTGTGAAAAGAAATAACATCCTACCTACTCAGCTGCCCTAGTATATGAATTGATATCCATGGACTAATAAAGAATAACAGACAGCATTGTCTTTGTTATACAAGAAACACAAGAAAGGCCGGGTGGGATGGGGACAGGGGAAGAGGAGCAAAAAATTAAAGAATTTCACCTTGGTTTACAGCAATAACCTCCATATTGCTTAGAATCTCAAAAGTTTCAGCAGTCATGTTTCTTACATCACAACCCACCAAAAGAGGGGCCTGCACACATCAAGGATAAAATTTTCAGCCAACCAAAGGATTCATAATGCCATATGTAGCAGATGTGGTCTATGCTATCAATCATGCAACACGAAACTGAAGCAAAGTTCTCCAAGGTGAAGTATAAAAGTTTACTTACAGGACACAACAAATAAATACAGATGTACCATTGTATCTTGTCAGATAAGCACTAAATCAAAATCCAGGCCTGGCAGTTAAAATATGGATGTCTGAACATGGAAAAGCAAGCTCATGGAAAAAGTAGTTCACACAAACCAGCCACGTAACATTCTTTTCTCAATTCTCAGCATCAATTATGTTAATGTTAACAAAAAATTAAAAATCAGAATATTTGGGATGGCTACATGAGATTGCCAGCCATTCAACTTAATCTACAGCGTACCTCTATCAAAGTAATATTGATAATTTAAAAATAATAAGTAAAACTTAGTAGAATACATAAACTTGCCTATGATATTCAAAGATAAGATAAGGAAGAAAGAAATGAGAAAAGGAAAAAGACCTTCATCAAAGCCCAAATGCTAAAATGAGCACGGTATTCTGGATAAGTCATGCCTCCATTGCCAACTTCCAGCATATCAGGATCTGCCCAAAAATGATTACATGGGGAGTTCAATAGCTTCAGCTTCACACAAGAATTTTTACAACTTAATGTGAAAAAAAAAGAAAGACATTTTTACCATTCCATCCACCAGGTCCAGCATAGGAAGCCCACTTGTTATTTAGATCAGCTATCGTAGTCATGCTAACCAACAAGAGGGAAAAGAAAATACATCAATTAATAGAAGAAAATCAAGTATGAGCAGAACTTTTTCCTTTTCTCTATGAATTAGACAGTAAAACTCGTGTATCATACACTAGACTTATTACAAGGTACTACAAACCAGTTTATTGCCTTGTACTTTCCCAAGGGCTAATAACTGGGGAGGGAGGGGGCAAGTTTTAAGTTTATCACATCTGCATACTCTTTAATTCCTGTTCACAACCCAACTCAAAAAGATTGGATTTCATATCAAACACATAATGCCAGAATGTACAAAGAAGTTGCTCCTATCAAACTTATGTTGCTAGAATGTATAAGAAAGCTTAGAACTCAGACTTCATCTATTTCCAAATGAAATGCTCTTATTGCTTCCGTGTTTCTCATTACCCTCTGTAAATGATCCTAGTTGGCAAAACTTTTGTGGACCAAGAAACAATTTTCTTCAGATTCATTAGTTTCTATAGTCTTGACTCTCATAGTGAAGGTGATACTAGTTGGCAGTTAAAAAGATAGGTGAATAGCAACTACCAGATGTGTTCCGCAGTCATACTTCAGCAAATAAAAGTGAATCTCTTTTCAAATATTACGTTGCAAGTTGAAGGTCAGCAGACATATCACCAGTCAACGCAAACCCAACCCTCTCCCTCCCCCCCTCCCTCCAAATACCCTAGAAAAAGATTAGTGGGCATCTTATAAAAGGTATTGAGTTGTCACTTCCCTGCAGTGAGTGTTATAACAAATGAATCATGTTCAAACAAACTTCTGGAGCAATTAAAAGAGCCATCTAAGGATTTATCTAAACGGTTTTGGGTAATTTTGGCATGTTGAACAATGATGCAAGAAAAATTAATTCATTGCACGACTCAGTCTGTTTACTTCAGTCAAGAATTCTAACCTTGCCCATGTGTCATTAATGTCATCTGTTGTACGCCAGCTATTTCCAACCCCACGAGCCCATAAGGCAGGGTCTTCAACACCCCTGTCGATGAAGCCATGGTTGATCCCAAGGTTGTGGCAAATTGTGCAGGAAAATAATGCAAATATATCATGAAATTTAATTACCATTCACAAAGAGAATAGAATATTGTTCTCCCAGTTGCATTTAGAGCATCACGCATTGGAGGATATCTGAAATTATGGTACCAAATCTAGTGAATTGAAGCAAAGCAATAATGATTCTTAGATTAAATGAAATGAAGAGAAGATGTAACCTTTTCTTTGGGTCAATACCCAAGTTGAAACAGTTATCATACTTCAAATAATCTACACCCTGTTAACAAAATATAAAAGCATTAAATAGACATTTTAGATCATTCACACATCCTCATTCTTCAATGAAATTTCAGACCAATGATCCAATGATTTAATCAGAAAGACGGGCATTGCAAAGAATAACTCATTGTTTTCAGAGTCCATTTTACAGTACTTTCAATTATAGGAGCCTCTTAGTATCAAACTTTCAATGTTTAGTTAACATTTGAATTATCTTTATTGATTTCTAAAAAAAGTGCAATGACTTTACTATTTGTATTGGGGTGACTTTGTTCTCCAGACTGATGGATTTGTATCTTCATATGCAAGCACAACAAGGTTTCAATGGGAATCCAAATACTCTCAAATATTTGATTAGACTTCTAACCAAGTTAGGCATCATATAGCAAAAACTAACCCAAGAGGCAAACAGCTGTGAATCATCAATTTCATGGAAAAGCGATCCAGGTCGAACTTGACATGTAAATGCCCTACAACATGCAATTGGGATAGTCAGGAAAAGCCAAAATTAACAGATTTGATGCAAAACTAAATAATTGTTTCACTGTGAATCTAACTTCAGTGATTCTGCGCAGGTATTAGAAGTCCATCCTACCCAGCATCAGAATAAATACCAAGCTTGAGGCCTTTCCTATGTACATAATCAGCAAGAGCTTTGATTCCTGATGGAAAAGCATTTGGATCAGGGACCAATTGACCCTGCATAGTGAAACAAAGCCACAAAAATGTTAACTTAGGTGATCACATAAGAACTTCAACCAGATGAATCATTTCATTAAATCCAAAATGTTTGTATCTTGTGTCAAGACTACATTTGCACGTTCAAGCCACAGACAATAACTAAATAATAAACCTCAAGCTAGAAACACAGACAAGTTTTATGTAGGTTAGTATACTAAGAAATGCAAATGGTTATTCACTATATTAAACTAGAAATGACAATTACGATAGGTCAAGGTTCATGGAATGCAGATAGTAAGAGTCATGGTTTCTTTAAAAGCAAGAACATTTAACTCACCTCTGAATTTCTACTGGTAGCAGACCAGCAATCATCTGCATCCAATCAAATTAAATTAAGGCTCAAATAGGACAAAATGAAATTACTAAAGTAATTAAGTAAATACTTAAATATGACAGAAGAATACCTATATTAACATACACATAGCCTAAATCAGCCAAGCCTGTTGAGATAAGTGCATCCGCTGTCAATGGTAAAACCAAAGTTAGCATTTCAAATGAAATTTAATCAAGAAAGAAGAAAAAAATTTTAAATGGAAACTGAAATAGTAACATAATGTTATTTCACTTCACAAGCCAATTGATAATGAAAAAAAAAAAAAAAAAAAACAGTAACTGAGACATAATGACCAGAATGAAGTGTACAGCTCCGTTGTGTAGCTTGCAACAATGACTAGTTGTTTGTTGCAGGCCATTGTCATGAATTCACAGTACGTGGCAACCCATTTATGTATATATTTTCTTTATTGATTGGATTGTTAATAGTGTGCAAGAAATGTGGGTCATGTTTGTTGGTTAACGACTTTGTCTCACCATAATATACTACTAACCAGAAAAGCAAAATGGTAAATGAACCATGAGATTAATTGGAAAAGAATGTGGGTAGTTTACGTTTATTTATGAATTGTCTTGGCGGAATAGATCAATACCAAGTATAGGGTAATGGCAAATGAACCATGAGATCAATTAAAAATGGGTAAAGAAGCAATACCTGTTTCCCTGATAAGATCTTCAGTGATATTACAGGCAAAGAAATTCCAGCTATTCCATCTGCAAATCATGTTCAAACATGCATTAAAAGAAATCATATTTATTTTTCACATAAATCAATTCTACTATTTCTTTTCAAAAAATAAAAAGAAAAAAATTCTGATTCATTCCTCCATTAGCAGTGTCACTTGATAAAGTAACATCAAAGCCTTTGATTTCAAGCAAAACCCATCACCCTAACACCCTAAACACTGCCTTCCCCATATTACCCACTTCAGCAATTCAAAAATTTTCATATTTCAATTTTCTAGTCGAAACAGGGAACAAAAAAATTATATCTAGTTGATAAACTCTCAATAATGCCTTGACTTCTGAAATATGTGAAGGAAGCCATTCAATTTCCTTCCACTTACAAATTTTTAACTGAGTTTAGTCTCCATTCACCCAACTCAATCAGGACAACTTTATTCCTCTTTTTTTCATTTTCTTTTATTTTAATTGTTTCTCCCCCAAAAAATGCACTTTAAAATAATTGAAAACAAAAATTTCACTCTTTCTAGTTTTTCTCCATCTTTACCTCTCACTGAACAATTTATTTTTATCTTTTTACCGTTAAAATTCGTTTTTTTTTCCTTCATTTTTATACAATCACGTAATGGACAAATTAGAATCCTAAAATCCGGAAAAAGAAAGAAGAAAAAAAGAAGTAAACTAATTAAATAAATAAAACAATCAGTAAGCAACCAGTGAATGTAACAAATCAAAATTCAAGCTTTTTCAGCATTACCCCATTTGAGGAGTTAGAGCCAAGCCATTGTTGAGTTGAAAAATCCCATATTTTGAAGTATCATAAATGGAATTGAAAGATTTGGTGAAACCAAAGCCAAAGCCTGAACTGGGTTTTTCATGTTTTTCCAAGACAGCCACTTCTCTTCCTTCAGTTCCGACATCAGTCAACCACACAATAAGAACTGTTGCAATATAAACACTGAAAATACTTTTCTTCTTCATCTTCCCCATGCCCTTTTCTTTCTTCACCTGAATCACCTCTGTTAGAAGTTGAAACTTTATCGGTTTTATGTAAGCTAAGCAAGAGAAAACCGACGGGACAAGCAAATTTATGATTTTTTTTTTATTTTAATTTCAGTTTATCCATTTTGTTCAACATGACAGGTGAGAGATATAAGCATATTTTTTTTGTCTGATTGACTCGCTGTCTCATTACTGATTAGATAAATGGGACCCTTTAACATTCGTAATCTATACACGTGTTTTGTTTTGTTTTGTTTCAATGAATTTGTGCATGCATTCTCATCATTCCTTATTCCGCCTTCGCATCATCTATCCCTACTCTCTTCTCTTACTCAATTACTCAATTACTCAATTACTCAATTTTTATCACGGAGCATTTGATCGTTCCATCAGTTCGGTTTTTAGAATTTGAAAATCGAATTAACTGATTTCATTCGAATTAATTGATTAAATTAAATTAAATTAAAATGATTAATCAAAATGGTAATAAATTCGATTTAAATTTATCAAATTTAGTTTTGATTTTAATTATTTAAAAAATATATAATTTATATTATTACTAAAATTTATTTTATATTTAATATATTATAGACATTTTATATTCTATAATACAAAAAAATGATATATTATATTATACTTATAATTTTAAAATATTATGTAAATTATGCTGTAATATTAATAAAATCAGTTATTTTAATTTATTTGATTATCAATTTTAAAAATAAATCATTTAATTTAATTATATATATCAATTTTTCTAATTAATTAACATCGAAATCCAATAAAGCAAATCAAATTAATAAATTGTTATCATTTCGATCGATTAAATATATTATTACATATTTATCTTTAACCCTAATTTTCAATTTCCTCATGTATGCTAAAAATGGTCACGAAACTCTTGTTCTCTTTTATCAAAAAAATACAAAACTATATTCCTTGTGAGAAAAAAAATGAACTATAAGCATTAAAATAGTTTTATATTATGAATATTTCTTTTATACACCGTTATTTGATATATAGAATAATTGTCATTATCTTATATACGTAATACACTTTTATAAGTTTAAGATGGAGTAGATATTTTATAGTTAGAGACGGATTCAAATGAAACAGTAAAGTATTTATGAATATCTCAAAAATTAAAAAATAAAAAATTTTAAAGAAAATTTTTCTTAAACATTTTCTAAATTTTTTCCTAGACACATTATTTATAAATAAAATTAATAAATTTATTTACAATTTCATATATATTATAAGAGAATACTTAAAAAAAATTCTAAAGGATTAAAATATATTATAATCAAGTACAAATAGGGTTTGGACAATTAAAATACTATCCTTTATGGGTTTGGATAATGGTTTTAAGATATGGGCTACGTAAACTTGATTACAAATATAATTTTTTATATTAAAATATAGTTTTATATTTTTAAAAATTACTTAAAATTAATTTAATATTTATTACAGTTCTATTAATTGTAAATATGATTTTTAATTTGATTTTATTAATTTAATTTTTATAAAAAAAATACAAAAAATATTTTTTTTTTATGATTCAATTAAATATCAGCCCTAAGATTTTAGTTGATTGTCAGTATGCCATTTGAATTTTTAAGTTGATCAATAATCATTAATCAACTTAATCTTAAATATTTATTGTCAGTTTTGCACCCTATTTTAGCATTCCATATATATTAGATAAATTTCAACATATAAATCATAAATGACTTCAGCAAATAGAATATCTTAAAATTCCAAGGAATATTCTAACGGATGGACTCATATTTTCAGGGTGCCTACATTCAAGATGGAAACCACTCAAATTAAAAGATGAAGATATAAATTGATAGTCAACCCAAAAAAAAATTAGGATGATAATTTGCTATATCAACCATATAGAAATATTTGAAATTAATATGCCTATTAGTTTAGTTTACATGGGAGCTATAAATCATTGGTGAAAATATCTTTGTAATTTTTACTATTTCCCTCTTTAATTTGTTCTGAACTTTTCTTTCATTAGTTGTTCTCCAACTTTTCTGTGTTGGGATGCTTTTGTGTATTTTTACCTAACTCAACTACAAGTCTAAAGGAAAAAAATGTTTATTCTTCTTATACTTACAACTATTACTTCGCATTCAAAACGGATACATATATTTCTGGGCTGAAGAAAAATAAGGGTCAAGGGCTGGGCTGAAGAAAGAGGACCCTTGTAGGAACAATTTCTGGGCTTGGAATTCCCTGGAAAATCTTAAAAGGCTGCGCTGTCCAATAAGAGGTGGCCCAACTTATCACCCATATGAGTCAATGGAACTTGGGGTAAACGTTGATTTGGATGATAATCAAAGTTTATTATAAAAAGAAAAAAAAAAGTCTGATTTACTGTTGTTGTTGATAAAAATTGAAGGATAACGATTCGTGGAAAGATGATGAGGTAGCCCATATTGGGACGGCAATGACCTTTACAACAAGGGTTGATTTTTGACTTGTGCTTTAGACTTAAGTTTACTTGAGAGTTAAGAAAGACATTTTTGGTGGAATGGTCATATAAGACTTTTAGCCGTTCAAGCTAAATGACCTAATTTTGAGAGCAGCCTCAATGGGTTGTGAAGACCATGACCTTAGCTATATTTGCTTGACCAAGATATCTGGCCTCTAGGATTATCTAAATGGGAGCATTCCAGATTGACAATATCACACTCATTTGAGTGACTCAAAAATTGATAATATTTAGGATACATACAGTAATTATAATTATAATAATTATATATAAGTACTACAATTTATAAAAAAAATTAACGAAATAGATAAATTTATACATTAAGATACTTGAATTCTAAATTTCAAAGTTTAGACTTCTTTTTTGCTGAAATCAAAAGTCATTGATGAAAAAATTCAACATTTTTCATTCTATTTATTTATTTAAAGATAATAAAAGCATAAAGAAAAATATATGTTAATTAGAGTAAGACCTATATTTTGGTCACCATCTATCCCAAATTCTTCCATTTATTCTCTCCTTGGTTCCTCCAATGATCATTAATGACAAAAATTCTCTTTATTAATTAGTTATAAAAAAAAATTGTTCATTTGATTTGGAATATAAAAATCTCACAACATAAAATAAATATAACTCTGAGAGATCACCATATATATGTATATATATTATATCATCACAAAGTTGTTTTTTTTTTTTCTTTTACAAATGACTTCATCTAAAGATAAGATATTCTTTCCTCGCTTCCTTCAATTATCATTAATGACAGAAATTATCTTTATTAATTAGTTATAAAAGAAATTTGTTCATTTAATTTGGAATATAAAAATATCTCACAACATAAAAAAAATATAACTTTGAGAGATCACCATATATATATATATATATTATATCATCACAATAAAAAGCTTGTTAGTTGTTTTTTTTTTTTTCTTTTACAAAGAAAGACTTCATCTAAAGATAAGATATTCTCTCCTTGGTTCCTTCAATCATCATTAATAACAAAATCTCTTTATTAATTAGTTATAAAAGAAAATTATTCATTTAATTTGGAATATAAAAATCTCACAACATAAAAAAAATATAACTTTGAGAGATCACCATATATATATATATATATATGTATTATATCATCACAATAAAAAGTTTGTTAGTTGATTTTTTTTTTTTTACAAAGAAGGACTTCATCTAAAGATAGAATATTTTCTCCTAGGTTCCTTCAATTATCATTAATGACAAAATTCTCTTTATTAGTTAGTTATAAAAGAAAATTGTTCATTTACTTTGGAATATAAAAATCTCACAACATGAAAAAGTTATAACTTTGAGAGATCACCATATATATATATATATATATATTATCATCACAATAAAAAGTTTGTTAGCTGTTTTTTTTTTTTTTTCTTTTACAAAGAAGGACTTTATCTATAGATTAAAAAGTAAATTGTAGATATTAAAATTTAAATTAAAATATATTTAATATTATATTTTAAAAATAATTGTATAAACTAATCGAATTATTCTTATTTAAACTAATTATTTTTCTTAACTCACTCAAGTACTATTTTTTTTGCTAAATAATGTGATGCCTGATCACTTCATTGAATTTTCAACATGTTTAAAAAAGAGAAAGTATAGAAATTGATTACATATCTATTTTTAATGATAGAATCAGTAAAATACAAAAGTCCTTAATTTCTGAGACTATATTCATTGAAGTATAAAGACTAACTTATCCAAAAACAGGAAAAGATAAAAAATTCGAAGGTAATAATTAACTATGAGTATATGACGACCAAAAAGAAAGAAAAAATGAATAACAAATTCATATAAGAGAGCAAGGGGCAGCTGGAACACCCAAAGCTCTGAGGTCTGCTCCTTTAGCTGGCTAGTTTTTGACGTCGTTGGTTCCTTTGCTAGGTCCAGACGGTGGCAAGGGTCCCTTGGAAGCATACTGAGGATCATGGGTCCATACTTTTCGGTGAGTCTTGGAGTTGGAGACCTCAGAATCCCCACCAGGGAGTTCTTGATGGGAACCGTATGGCCACATGGCAGAACTTGCGGCTTAGGATCTTGCTCTGTTTTGTCGAAAACGTCGTTGTTGTTGCTGCCGTCGACGGGAAGAGCGAGGTTCAAGGTTGGCTCTGTAACTGCAAGGCCATGTGACTGAAAGTAATTCAAAAGCCTAGCTGAAGACAGTGATGAAGACGTGAAGACGATTAAGAAGAATAAAACAGCTGCGAGCTGGCGGGTTTTACGGTATGTAGTCATTAACGGTTTTGAGAGGGAAGTTTAGTGAAATTTTCGGAGAATAAGTGAGGGAGTTAACAGTAAATTTTGTGCTTTTGGCTTTGGGATTGACAGTTTGCGGTTTCTTAGGCTCTTTTATACACGCATGAAATGAAATCGTTGTCTTTAGTTGACAAAGTCAGTTTGGGTTTTGAGTTTACGCGCTGCGCTGCTTCTACACGCTACTTGACTTTATATTTTTTTAATTCTTTTATTTCATTTTGATTTGGAACGTGGAATATAATTAACACATTTTTATTTTGAATTATGATTTGATTCCAACTAAGAACCTTAATTTTAGAATCAATTTCAGTATCATTAAACTTATAATTTAATGGTAATATG